AGAAAGAAATGTCATCTTGACCTTGTTTCTGAAGGATATTTTAACCTCACTAATTAAGCAACCTCCACTGCTATTCAGTGAAGTTCTCTTGAGACTGAAGGGCCTTTGATTAGGGAAATTCCCTAATTGGGTAGGACCTCTCATCATAAAACAGTCATAACATGTTGATTATAGTTTTACCGTTAGGAATTCTATTGCTTAACACAAATGGATTATAATAAGAATTTGATTAACCTAAATCAATTTTAGCCTGGAGATATTTGGGACCATAGAAAAGATCAAGTCCCCTTGGCAATCCAAAAATCTCAGGAAAAACGATGAGTTTTTGATTCATGATAGCAAAAAGAAATATTGTACTATAGAATTTGGGTTTTCATACAATAACTATATTCCAATGATTACTAAGTCTAATACTTATTTTATATATATTTCTCAAGTTGCACTTAATAATTTTATTATGAAAACAGTAATACACAGAATTATATAATTAATTTCAATACACCTATCGACTGCCAGTATATTATCAATCTTGTGCCATCACATTTTTGTCTTCTGGGAAGATTTAAAGCAAATTACAGATAAATTATTTTTCTTAGAAACACTTAAGTATTAACTTCTATTAAGCTATTTTTATGCAATAACATGAGTAACAGCTAGAGATCCTGACTTATTAATACAACAAAAAAAATGGATATTATCATCATTATTAAAGCAGATATAAATTCCCAGAGATTTTGAGTGGTTAAAAAATCTCAGGTCCAGGCCCTCCCTGGAGGTGCAGTTGGTTAAAGTGCAGCACAGTAAGCTAGCAGCAGCCGCTTCAGTGTGAGTTCGATCCTTGGCCCCAGAGGTCACCCACGTGGTACAGCAGACCTCTCCTGTCTAGCCTGCTGTTCCTCTCTGCAGTGTACTTTGTTGATCTGCCGGTTCTGCTGCCTACTCTGTCTCTGGTGAATCCTCACTGCTCCTGTGCCTCTGGCCTGTACCTCAGTTCTGTATGAATAAATAAATAAATCTTTAAAAAAAATATCAGGTCCTCCTGAACAGTGACAATGGCTTTCAAGCCTGGGTATCTTGCAGATACTTAACTCAGTTGCACACGGCAGCATATTCGACCTTATCAAGAAAAAAGCTACTCCCTGGGTATTGACCTCCACTGCTCTGAGTATAGCCTCCCTTCCTTTGGTCTTGTAATACCTGGGGATCAACTGAAAAAGGTTGAGGGGAGACAGAGAAAAGTGGCCACTGGAGATTGTTTTAAATATGCCTTTTTATTATAATGTTTTAATATCTTAGGCCTTGCTGACCTTGGAGAAATTGACCTGGAGAAACCTTCTAGGCTTCTCTAGAGGCCTTCACCTAGCCTTCATCTAGAAGCAGTAGAGTTCCCCTGCACATGTTAACAACTAACCCAAAACTCACATTCTGTCCTTACTGAGATCTTATATTCTAGTCATCATCTTCCCATCTTAATCACCCTTAGACTACCAGATGACTGGGTACAGGCCAAATCCCTGGTCTCCATGGAAACTATTCCAGTGAAAATCTACCTACTCTGCTGCAAACATTTCTTCCCATGATACCAATGAAGGCTCTTGTCCACATTTCCCCCTCATCACCTTTGCCTCCTGACAGGCCATGGTGCTCCCTCCATGGCCAAGTGTGGTGTGTTGTCCTCCTCCTTTGGGGAATTGTGCTTATAGCAGCAAACTCTTTCCAATAGTTGTCATCTCCTGATCTGTTGGTCTCATCAGATCTGGAAAATGATAAGTCCTACATTTAAAAACAAGATGGACAAAGCTGAGTAAAATTTGGGGAGGCATACTATCAAGGCCTTCCTTCTGAAAGACATTGCAAACCTAGTTGGAAGTAGGTAAGGATTTAGGATTGGGTATCAAGTTGACAATCAAATTGTAGTAGAACAACCACTGGGGAGAAACAATGAAATCTACAGCACACCATAACATCATTGTTGAATAGCAACGGACAACCATTTAGTCCTCCTGTATGCTGGTTGAAATTGCAGGAGGAACTGTAACTTTTCTTAGGTAAGAATGTCATCTCAAATATTGTACATGTTCCCACAACTGTAGGAAAGCAGTGTTCTCTTGTAATCTTATCGACATTTCTTTCCATTGGCCACCATTCCTGCTGGGCTGGTCTTGTAATAGTCAATAGTGCAGGACTATTGATGTAGAGAAGTGAGGGTTTACCTCAAGTTGCTTTTTCTCTGAGTCCTCAGTTCTTGAGTTAGCTCTTGCATTTCCAGTTTTCTTTCCATTTTCAGCTTGAATTGTAGATATGTGGAGACCTTAGCACTAAGTCACATGAACAGGGTGAAGGAACTCACCCTCAGAACACAGGATATGGTAGGTGAAGCCTAAAGTGTAGGCTTTGTGATGTGAAAGTACTCATTCCCTTACTGTACTGATAATTTTTAGTAAAATATTCATTCATAGATCTTATCTCACAATAACAAGTTTTAGTGGACCATGAGTTAGTTGAATGTAGAACTGTCAATATAATAAATATTTAGTTAAGTAACTGGGAAATTTGTTACTTCCTTATGAAAAAAGTATATACTGGTTTATGCTTATTATAATTCTGACATGCTTGCTAGATTTTTCTTTCTGACTTTTACTTACATATGCACAAATATACTCAAACACCCACGAGTGTACATAGCACACCTCACATCCTAATTTTCTTTAAGCAATTGCTTTAAAAAAACCAAAAAAAAAAAACAACTCTTTAAATGAAGATGAATGGGGCAATGAACTGACAGACCTTGTATTTAAAGATCCCATAAAAATGCATTAATTAGAACATGAATTGACTTTGGAGTAATGTCCATATTGGAAACTATTATTTTAAAGAGGCATTTTATTATTTTGTACTGGTTCTGGGAAACATATGATTAAAGTTTAATTATTCAGTAATGAACTCACTTATCTAGGATCACGAACCCAGGACCCATGTGTCTTTGCTAACTATTAAAGTGACCTGGACATCATTAGGAAGATTCTTGAAGCAAATGATACTCAAAACAGAATCACTTGGAGGGCTTATTCACCCAGATGGCTAGGGCCTACCCTCAGAAGATCTGATATAACAGGTCCAGGTGAATCCCATGCATTTGTATTTTAACAAGTATCTGCTGATCTAGGAACCACATTTGGGAGCTGCTTCTTCAGCATAGCATTTCATACCAAAAAGGGACTGGTGGGAGCTTCCTGATTCCTCCAGACCAACTCACAATCTTGTGGCCTTTTCCCAAATAAACCACAATATTATTATTTTCTCTGTTCTCATACTAAGACCTGAAATTTTCTAGGGGGAATCTCCTAAAACACTTGCAAGTAGTAACCCAAGTTAGAAAAATAGATAAGAAATATAAACCAAGTAGCATCAACTTGAGAGTATATACACTAACACCTGCAATTCTGAATGTATTAAAGTAATCTGATAAATTTTATATAAACTGAGCAATTTGGGGATGAGGGACAGTCCCATATTCACATTCATTAAACATTTGTAAGAAATAACAACAAATAACAATTGATACGCTTACACTGCCATGGAATGCGTTTCTCCCATAATGTAGGTGTCATTAGCTCATATAAGATAGTGCCACTTCTGCAGTAAGTTGCCTTTTTTAAATTTTAAAAGATATTTATTTTATTATTTATGCATACAAGAATTGGGGTATAGGTCAGAGGTGTAGAGGTGATGGTGAAAGGATTCACCAGAGACAGAGTAGGGAACAGAACAGGCAGACTGACTGAAATACACTGCTGAGGGGAGCAGTGGGCAAGACAGGACAGTTCTGCTGCACCATGTGGGTCACCTCCCTGGCCAGGGATCAAACTCTTGCTGCAGTGGCTGTTGATAGCTTGATCGTAGTGAAGACTTTAACCCCTGCACCACCAGGGAAACCTCTAGGAAAAGTTTTTAACCATATATGCTGTTGTTGATTTTAGTGTATTGATATAGTTTATCCTCATCTATACTCAGGCTTTTGATGCTATTTGTGGGCATTCACAGAGGTGACACATTTGATTTTTCCGAGGTGTGTACCCAGCTGAGTGCCAACAAACCCTCTGCTTTCCTGCTTCAGTTCTCATACTATAAAGAACATCCCTTTCACAGTCTGGTTTATATCCTGATTTTCACACTTTTGTGCTTTTTATTGGTGATTTACCTATTTTATATTTGTTCTTTCTCGGTAACAGTAGTTACAATACTGCATTTGACTCAGAAATAAAGGACTCCACCTCTCAAGTGTTCCTTACACAACTCACCCACCACCAAGGCATTCATAGTCCTCCACCATACCCATTGCGCCACCCTCTCCCCTCCATCCTGCCCCTCCCACTCCAGTAGCCTCAGTTTCTACTACCCTGAATGCTCCTGATCTCTGATTTTGCTGTTTAAAATGACCCCCAAGCCACTGAAGTGCTGTCTAGTGTTTCTGTTGCCAGAAGGCTGTGAAGTGGCTTTTGAAGGAAACGTGGTTTAATTTTGTTCAAGCATAATTTGTAGTGCTATTTGGCCGTGAGTTCAATGTTAATGAATCAATAACATATCTGAAATAAGATGCCTTTAAATATACGAGACAAGGTGATCAGTTGACCGAAGTGCAATTTCCAGAGGGTTGTAGGAAGCTAACCCTGATTTCCCTTAGGAACAGTGACGGAATAGGTACGAATCCAGGGTTGGCAGCAGTTTTATAGAACATGGCTATCATGAATGAGTACAGATATGACTTGAATTTGCTGAGGATATCATGCTTAGTGAATTTTATTCATCTGTTGATTAAATTTACCAACTCATTTCATGCTATCAGCACTATATATTTATTCACTTCTCAAATAAGACATTAAAATGCAGACTTTCCATCATGAAAAAGTAAAAATATCACCTAGGTGACTTTTGAATCTCCTCATGTGCAGTGGACCAAGGAACATGGGATATTTCACTTTTTTTTTTTCTTTCCTTAGTCTCCACAAAATAGAAGTCTTTGGTTGCTTTGGTCTTACAGCCAGAAGTATAGACTCTCTGGCTCTGCGATGTCCACACTTACGGACCCTGAACATTGGGAGAGTCCCCAAGGTTTCTGAGGCCTGCCTGGTCAGGATCCTGAAGAACTTACCAGAAATGACTGCCCTCAATGTTGCTGCCCTTAAATTGGTGAGAACTCTTGGACTTATACAGATCTTTTCATTGTCCTTCATGATTTTATTTTTGTCAGAACAAACCTATTATTATTATTATTTTAAAATTATATTTATTTAGGTAATCACTATGTATATTTTAGGGGTTTAGGTTTATGCCTTTCGAAATGGGTGTTTTCACACCATACCAAAAATGTTCTACCATAGTCTCTTGCGTGCTCTGCCTTCTTTATTCTCACGCCTCAACTTTCTGACAGCCTCAGTCTTTAGTCAGATTTCAAGATTTGTTTTTACTTCTTCCTTTGCTTTGCTTAGTTGTTTTACATTCCACATGTGAGTAGATCATCCAGTATTTGAGTTTGTCTTATTTCCACATTTCATCCACATTGTCTCAGACATGATTTCATCTTTTTTCTTTCTTTTTTTTAAGTCTATGTATATACACATCTTCTAAATCCACTCATCTGTCCTTGGGCAGACATTTTGGCTATTGTAAATATCATTGCAGTGCACATAGGACTGCATATATCCCTTCAAATAAGTGTTTTTGTATTCTTTGAGTAGCTACCTAGGAGAGGAGTTGCTGGATCATATGGTAGATCTATGTTTAACATTTTAAGAGAAACCCCCATAGTATTTACTAGAGAGGCTAGACTAGTCTGCATTCCTGTCTACCAACAGTGTATAAGGTGTCTCTCTGCTCACATTCTTTCCAAAATTTGTTTTTTTCTGGTCTTTCTGATATGGGCCAATCTCACAGGTATAAGATGGTCTCTGGGGTTTTGTTTCCATTTCCTTGATGATAAATGGTGATGAGCATTTTATCATGTGACTGTTAACCATCTGTATGTCTTCTTTGGAGAAATGCCTTTGGCTCTTGTGCTCCTTTTTAATTGTTTTTTTTGTAGTGTTGTGTGGATATTAGCCTTTTGTGAATATGTACCACATCTTTTATAACATACATTTCCCCCCATTATTAGGCTGACTTTTTGTTTTAATGATAGTCTCTTTGGTTGGGCAGAAACTCGTTTTTAAATTTATTTATTTTTATATCATTCTTCATTTTGTACATTTTTTCATTTCGGTTGTCATCCCCATGGACTTTCCACCACCAGTTCACCCATGTGCTATCACCATAGCACATGTGCTCTTCCCACCTCACTTTTCATCCCATTCCCCTCTCCCTATTAATTTTGTCTCTGATTTATAGTTGTTTGTTGTTTTTCATCTTTACTTTATTACAATGGCTTTTTTTTTTGTTTCCTGGTCCCTTACTCTCCTACTATGAGTAAAACCATCTGCTATTTATCTTTCTGGCTTATTTCACTAAGCATAATCCCTTCCAGTTCCATCCATGTTGCTGCAAAAAGCATGAGTTTATCTTTTTGATTGCTGAGTAATATTCCATTGTGAATATGTACCACATCTTTTTAATCCAGTCATCTATATTTGGGCATTTGGCTTGATTCTACATCTTCCCTATTGTAAATAGAGCAGCAATAAACATGGGGGGGTTGCAGGTGTCCTTTTCAATCAATGTTTTTGTGTCCTTTGGGTAGATACCTAGGAGTGGGATTGCTGGGCCATATGGAAGCTCCATTTTTAGCAGTTTGAGAAACCTTCAAACAGCTTTCCATATTGGTTGTACCAGTTTGCATTCCCACCAGTAGTGTAGGAGAGTTTCTTTTTCTCTGCATCCTCACCACATAGACACTTTTTAATTTGGCAAATTCCCATTTATTTTCACTTTCGTTGTCCCCAGAGACATTCCTGAAGCCGATGTTGTGGAGTATTTTGACTTTTTTTCCCTTCCTATGCATTTTATGGTTTCTGTTCTTACAGTCATATCTTTGATCCTTTCTAATTTACTCTACATATATAGTGTGAAATAATTGTCTAGTTTCAAAAACTGTTATTCTTCAGTGTTTTTCTCATATTATCATGAAGTCATGTTCTGAAATATATGTTTAAAGGGGAGAAGAAACCATGTTTAAGAAGGTGTTTGCACACTGGATTATGACTACACAAAAGAAGCAGGAGGCACAAATAGGACTTCCCTGAGGAAACATTGCTATTTAGTTATGGATTAGGTACTGGATCTAAAAGTTGACCCATTAAGAAAATATTTGCACATCATACATCTGACAAAGTGCTGATATCCAAAATATAAAAACTAATGCAGATGAGCAAAAAAGACAGCAATGAACCCAATTTAAAAAATGGGCAAAATGCTATAAATAGTTACTTCTACAAAGAAGATACTTATATGCCACTAGGCTCATGATAAAATGCTCATTATCACTTATAACTAGGTAAATGCAGACTGAAACCACAATGAGATACTACTTCATACATGTGAGAATGTTACTAAAATGATTCATATTAAAAAGATCATAAATAGCAAGTGTTGATGAGGAAGTATGGAAAAAAGAATCATCTTACAGTGTTGGTGGTAATGTAGAGTGATCCAAACTCTATGGGAAGTAGTATTAAATTTTCTCAAACTTTAAAAATAAATCTACCATATGAACACATCAGGTACACTCCTAGGTTTCTACCCCCAAATGCAAAAATTCTAGTTCAAAGGAATATGTTTGCATCTATATTCATTGCAGCTTTGTTTGCATAACTAAGTTATGATAACGACCTAAGTGTCCAAGGATAAAGGAGTGGATCAGAAAAATGTGATATATATTTATACAATGGAATACTATTACAGCTATAACAAAAGATGAATTGTTGGCATTTGTGACAACATGGATGGAACTAGAAAGCACAATGTTAAGTAAAATAAGTCAGAAGGAAAAAGAAAAATATCAACTGTTTTCACTTTCATGTGGAAATATCAGACAAAACTAAACCTTATACATCTGACTGCAAAACTAAGGCAACCAGAAGGGGAGAGTGATGAGGTGGAGTGGTTGAGGGAGGGGGTCCAGTGGAGCATAGTAGAGGAATTCTTGGGACTTTGCTAGTGATCATAGTATAAAGACTGCATTTAAAGAGGTTTCAATACATAGCACCTAAAACGATGCAATGATATACACCAACTTTGCCTCCATAAACATAGTTGGAAGTAAGAGTTGATCCATTAACGGATCTTGCCATTCTTGTAATTGAACCAATGTAGTAGTTCAATAAAATTATTGAGCAAATAAGAGCTAATATTAATGGTAACAGTTATCATTTATTGAGCTCCTTTCATATACAAGGAACTATACAAGGCACTTGTTACACACATTATTTATTAACTTCTCTATGTGAAAAGTAGCATTATCTTTAATTTATAGAACAAGTTGCTGAGATTTTTGGAAGAACATCTTACACTTGTCATTCATTTTAGAATCTTTTGCTTATTCAACTTTATATTGTTAATTTGCGAACTTTCCTCACTTGCTGATTTTATTAATAGAGAACTTAGGCACTGTATCAGATGATATAACTCTTATCAATACAGTTCCTAACTTAAAATTTGAAAAAAAATATTGGTGTTGGAATCCACTGACTCTGGATCTGACTGTTAATATTTGCCATTTTCTTAGGGGAAGCCTGAAAAAGATGTTATAGTCCCAAACCCATGGTCTCTTTATTTGTGCAGAGGTCTGTGCTTGAAAATAAGTTCTCGTTTTTTCCCCCCTACATAGGTGAAGGATGGGATCGTCCATCTCATCGTGACTCACTGTCCTAAACTGGAGAGTCTTGTCCTTAGCTCCTGTTCTCAGGTGACTGATGTGAGCTTGGTGGAAATTAGCACCTATCTGAAAACCCTCAGGTACTTCCTCCTCTATGAGCATCCTCACCAGGCTCCAGTGAAATTTCTTACTGTACTTTAGACTATACCTTTTGTCTCTTGATTTTTCTTTAATTAAACCATCAGAAGAGTTTATACATGATTATTGATGAATAAAACAGGGAGGAATAGTCTCATGGTCTGTGATGTGTGAGAATTTGCTTAGCCCCAAATATTTTTTGAAAAGGAAATTTATATGATTTGAGCAACGCTGTAGCCATTCCGTATTACTAACTCACATTATCAACAAATGGTTCTACAGATTCTTCCTTTCACCATCAAACATAAGGAAAAACTAGGGTGGTGTTAAGCGGTAAGGGAGGCAGAGCAGTCATAAAGGAAATACCCTCCATGATGGAACCCCACGAACCAATGAATATTCCCTAGAGAATGGCATGGTTTGAAAGGGGATATTCTAAAAGTCTCTGTCACAGTACTATTTGATTAATTTAGCCACATCTCTTGATCCTTTTCTTTTCTATCTTTTAATAGAAAATTACAGAATTATAAAGATAATAAGGAACAATGTCATTTTTATATAGGTTGTTGTTATCCTCCATATTATTAACCTCCATTTGCCATTGCTACATAACAACTCCAGAGCTGAGTGGTCTAAAGTAGCCATTGCAGTAGACTCACCAATTCTGTGAATTTGGATAGGGCCTATAAAGAAAGCTTGTTTCTGGTATATAGTGATTGGGACCTCCATTTGGAAGACTCAAAGGTTGGGGTGACTTAATGGTTGCATCTAGAATAAGCTAGAGGCTCTACCACCTACACAGGGATGATTTAAATTTTGGATTCAGCCAATATTTTCAATTGGACAATGTACATTTGTTTCTCTGTATGTTTTGGGCCTCTTGGTGGCCTCAGGACACTAAAGCTTCTTATGTGGTAGTTCATGACTCTCACATGAATATGCCAGAAAACAGGGAAAGCTCTATCATACTGTACGAAATAGCTTTGGCATTCATGTACGATCCTTTCCTCTGTACCCTACTGATTGAAGCAGTGATAAATGCCCCTGGTTTCACAGAGGGCCCAGAGCACTCACCTAACAGTGGGTGCAATGCCAAAGAACTGTGTGGATATTTCAAAAAAATGGTCACTGTTCATGCTATAGTCGAGACATTCAAGAGTCTGAAAAGATCAATAACTTTTCATACAATTTCAAAAATTTCTGAGCTAAAGAAAATCTTAAGATCTTTTAATGTAAACATTTGTTTAAATAATGAGGATGTCAGGACGCAAAAAGTTGCTGTGACTTACCCACGCTTATGGAGCTGGAAGGTGGCAGATCCCCGGCCTTCTGATTAACAGGTACACATATCACATGAGTATTAGCAAATGAATACCATTCACTACAAACAGCTCCTTCCACCCCCTCCCTTTCTCTGTCTCAGAAAATAACTGAATCGCAAAGACACCAACAGAAGCATCCAAGACTGCACATAATACTGAAAACATGAGAGGCGAGAGTAATGGCTGGGAAGGCCCTCAATATGCCATCTCTAATAATATTGCCTTTGATTTGATTAGTGCTATCACAGCACACGTAAATGTAATCATTATAATAGCTTTAAATGTTAAGTCATTATTCCTATTTTTCCCAAGATAAATGGGAGCTCAAGGGAATTAAGTAGCTTGTTCAAACTTGTTAATTAGTAGGTAGCAGTGTAGACCTCAACATGGCATATCTTATGCTATATTTTTCCTGAGTGGGAAGCAACACAGGTAAAGTATGGTGAGTCATTGAAACAAACCCCAGAAGAGAAGACTCTGGGGGTGATTTTTGTCTTAGAAGATTGAAGGGTTGTAAACTGACTCCACAAGGTGAGTTTACAGATGGAGGAAGATATTAATAAAATAAAATATAAGTAATAAAAGGTAACAACATTGTTACTATTGTAATACTATTATTACCATTACTCTTGTGTCTGTGTAGATGTTCTTTATATAAGCTCTTCTCTATTATGAAAATTGAAGTTATGTTCATGTCTGTACAAATACAACAATGGTACCTCAGATATGTTTTCATTTAGAAAATTTTGATAATTTAAAAAGCTTGAATGAAACCTGAAAAAATATTTGAGCTTTATTTGAACTCTGCTCATAGAAATCTTACTTACATTATCTTCAATGGTTTTCAAGGCAATGCTCATAATAAGAAATTCCATAAAAATCTAAGTTAGGCTAAACGTGTAGAAACTTAGAGCTCACAGTACTTAACAAAGTAGATGTGGTGAGTGTAGAAGGCAGAACTCTTTCTCTGTTTAAGAAAGTGAGACTTTCTTAAAGTCAAATCGCAGTTCACAAGGCGATTTGAATTGCATTGGTACGTCTTTTTTGTAACAGCCAACTCCATTTAACTATCCCCTCAGTTAGTGTGCTACATGTGAAGTTAGTGTTTCTTCACATTGAAGCACCAACTCTTATTCTATTAACAGTTGGAGAGGGAGGTTTATTGTGTGAAGTCCCTACTAACTTAGTTTCATTTAAATTCTACAGGTATCTTGATGTGAGTGGATGCCGACAGGTAACCAATGCAGGAATCCATGCATTGGCACGAAGCTGCCACCAGCTCAAGTGTCTGGACCTGAGCTCTACAGGGATAAATAAAAGAGGGTAGGATATTTGTAGGTTAACCTTCTTTATGAAGTTGCTTAGGAAAATGAATCACAAGCTAATTATCCATTTTGGTTTATCATTTTTATGAACACCCTGTGACTATGATATGAAAGGCCAGGAGGAATATAGATATTCCTGAAAGAGAGATTATATAAATTTATTTATGAATGTAATAAAATGTGAAATATATTGACATTTGTATAAATGATAAATTAAAATACTATAAATGAAGTGTGATATTTATGTCATTCCAAATTAAAATATAAATGGGGGTGACTTTTCTAATCACTTGAGGAGAAGTTATTTATCAGGAGGGACATAAAAATAATATAGTGTCCATAGTGTTGGGTATGAACTGCTCCAGAAATCTAGAATTTAAATGTAGCCATATACCTTGAGTTCTTATATAAGCCATCCCTTCCTCATTTATAGAAAATCTACTTTCTTCCTGTTTGTCCTTCTTGCTCAATCTTCCTGGAACCTGGAGTCTTTAATATCCACAGAGGAGTGTCTGTCCAGCTTCCTCCAAATAAAAGCACTGGGAACTTCTAAATGCACTACTGCTGTTGTGTCCTTCTACCCAAGGGGCAATGTGAAGACCCATTTTCAATTCCCAGGACTCCCTGCTGCAGTGATGCTTATGGGTCCAGGTGTCCATTGAAACCAACTAGGTTGAAGACACATTGTCTTATAGCAGCATATAAGTTTTAGTTGTGCATCATTGTATATCAACTGTATAACCAACATACAGTTCACCACTAAAAGTCTAATTCTCTCTCTCACCATGTAATTTAACAAATATAATTCTTGAGCCCTAAGAACTCATTCTCCTTATTCTTTTATTATTGTGCCTGTTTAGTACTCTAGTGGGTGAGCTTTAGATCATTCCCAGTTGCTTGCTTACAGCATCTCCTCTGTTAAACATAGAGGAGGTCTTGGTTTGGAATCTTGGTTGGAGAGTGTGAAGGGTCATACTTGCATCATTAAGTACCGTTTGAAGTTTCGCTTTTTTTTTAATTTTTTATTTTACAAAAGTTTATTTTTACATCATTTTGTACATTTTTTTTTCCATCTCAATTGAAATCCCCGCTGGTTTCCCATCACCAAGTCACCCGTGTGCCATCACCATAATCCCATGCATTTCCCTCCCCCCTCAACCCCCGTTTTTGATCCCATTCCCTACTCCATCCCCACAAAATGTCTCTGGTATATGGCTGTTCATTATTTTTATTATTTTCTCGCCTGGTCCATTATACTCCTGCTATGAATGAAACCATCCGGTATTTTTCTTTCTCTTTCTGGCTTATCTCACTAAGCATGATCTTTTCCAGTTCCATCCAAGTTGCTGCAAAAGACATGTGTTTCTCTTTTTTGGTTGCTGAGTAATATTCCACTGTATATATGTACCACATCTTTTTTATCCAGTCATCTACTTTTGGGCATTTGGGCTGTTTCCATGTTTTTCCAATTGTAAATAAAGCACCAATAAACATGGGGGTACAGGTATCTTTTTCAATCAGTGTTTTTGTGTCTTTTGGGTAGATACCCAGGAGTGAGATTGCTGGGTCATAGGGAAGCTCCATGTTTAGAAGTTTTGCTATTTTTTAAAATGAGCTTAGATCACTTTGTCTCATAAACATTGAGATTTTATTTTTGCAAAATAATAATGGTTCAGAACAACTGAATTTATAGAGAATAGACTTTATATTATAAGAAATCAGTGGAACCCTGTTTCTGGTTATCATTATTATTACTATTTTTAGTTTAAAGTGGGAAGGCATAATAATACTGTGATTCATGGGAAGCAATAATGCTTTCCTGGAAATATTAAGTGATGTTCTTGTACCTATTGTTGTTAGTATTAGTCTTTTTAAAATTTCAAATAAAAGGCTTTTGTGCTTAGGTCTTCATTCCATGGAACCACAAATCTATATTCCTTCATTCCTGGAATAGATAGAACAATCAGCACAGTTCCTGTTATTTAATTTGTTTGGTATATTTTAAATATGTCCTAAATTCAAAATTATTATGTTGAGTTGTTTCACAGTGAGGGATAGGAAAAAATATCCCTGTTATGCATGAAAAATCTAAATGGCATACAGATCCTTTGAAGATGAAAGAGACTGATGGAGCTTTAAGAGTGGGTGGATTTATGCAAAAGGATTTAGCTTCAGGTGGTCCTTGAAGGACTGGTAGGATTTCAATGGACAGACAAAAAGGAACATTTAACAAGAGCAAATCCTTCCATTGGTGATATAGTTTAACCATTTTCCTTTATTACAAATCCATCACAGAGGTCCTTACATGCTTGGCCTACTCACAGTCCTGCCAAGAGATTTGGACAGGTGTAAAAAATCTCCACAGTGTAGAGGGTTGGGGGGAATTTTTTGAAGTCAGGAAGCTACCTGAAAACTTTCCAAGTTAGTTACCACAGGATGGGTAGAAACTAGACAATTGTAGTCATTTGCCTGTTTGCTTTTTAAATGATCTATCAACTAAAAATAGTTATTACAACTTTAATGTTTTATTTAAAATACTTATTTAAGATCCTATAGGATATATTTGATTTTGTCTCTTTGTTGTGATCAAATGCAAACTAAATCTTGGAACGGCTGTAATATTTACTGTCTGGACTTTTTTTTTAAGATTTATTTATTTATGCATACAGATGGGGTACAAGCTAGAGGTTCAGGGGAGGTGAGAGAATTCACCAGAGAATTCAGGAGCAGAACAGGTAAACTGACGAATTACACTGCTATGGGGAGCAGTGGGTTGGTCAGGAGAGATCTGCCACGCCATGTGGATCACCTTGGGGACCGGAATCAAACTCACGCGAAGTGGCTGTGGCTAGCTTGCAGTGCTGCGTCCTAACCCATTGTGTTACCAGGTAGGGCCCTGTCTGGACCTTTAAAAAGAAATGTGTCAATACTGATTTAGGCTCTTCATAAGTAAAACAGTTTTGGTTTAGTGTAGTGAAAATGAGATATGGCACTCTAGCGATACACTTACATTTGGATAATCCTAAACTTTTGCATTTGTTTGTTTTCCATCCAAACTTATACCATGTTTGATGCATATTTTTTTCATAAAGATTATTTTAATAGTTGCTCGCTTTTCTATATAAATGTGATGTCATTTACTCAATATTATCATTTGGTTGAACATTATGATTGCTTCTAACTTGGCTTAGAAGAAATAACATAAATACATAAATATTTGTCCAAGGGTATTGTTTTATGAAAAGACTTCCTTGATTTATTGAGTATATTTTAAGGTAGAATATATAAATATATATAAAAATATATGTGATTTAAAGTTTGCTACAATGACAATCACATATAAGTTCTTAAACTTATCTCTTACTCTAGAGATAACATATGAGACAATTACTTACTGGCTTGGGAAAATCACGCAAAGCCCTTTATGGTTGCTTTAGCATGTAAACCATTAATGTTCTAGAAGAAATAGTGTTTTCCCCGCTGAATAATGGTGTATATATTATGATATTGAAAATAGATCTCAGTGGAGAAAAGTAGAATCATATTCAATAAACATGATTTCAAACAACCAAATATTTCCCACTTATTTACTACAGATAAATAGACCTATACTTGAAGATCACTGAGTCTTTGAGCTTTTATATTAGATTTACGGAACGGGCCTGCTTTTGTCCATTTTCGAATTGGCCATTGATACTTCCCAATTCTGTCCATTATCACCTTCATAATTTATTTAGCACTTGGTAGATCAAATAAACTTATCAGAGTTCTACTAAGTTTTATATGAGAAAAAAGGAATCAGTCGAAACAAACAGAAAGGAAGACACAATTTACTTGATTAAGTTCTTGAAAGTTGGTTTTAATTTAGGATCAACTTGCTACTTATGCTGAGGCCCTGTTGCACATAGAAGTTCCGTCTGTCTTTGTCATCTTTCTTTTTGCTTTCATTTATGATGATCTGGATATGATTATGATTATGATCCTTTGATCAGTTTAATATGTTCATTTTAATTTAAAGTATAAATATCTGATGGAAATACAATGAATAAAAAAGCAAATATGTCAGAGCTAATGACAAAGACACAGAGGTTTACTACTGATTAATCCTTCCGAGACAAAAAGTAGTTTCCTTGGGTGACACAGAGCAAGACTTTCTGGTTAAAGTGTTGTAAAATCAGTTTTTCTTGGGTTACTGAAAGCAAAGGACTTCGATGATTGACAGAGAAGTCAGGATAATTCCCTAGTTAGGAGATTTCTTCCATTTTAGGAGGGGACTATATCTCTAATTGTACTGAAATGCAATAGAGGCTCCAGAAAGCTAGAGCCTCCGGGAGGACAGAAATTGCCACTGGGCAGAAGGAAGGTACATTTTTCATTCTGGCTTGTTTCTAAAGGCCACCGTCACACTCATTAACACATAGAGAAGAGAATGAACACAGGCTGATGAGCTTATTTTGATGTATTTTCTGTATCTTACTGACTTAGATTCTGGGCAGTGTGTGTGTGTGTGTGTGTGTGTGTGTGTGTGTGTGTGTGTGTGTTTCCTGGTAACTACAGCAATGGCAATATCACCAGCTTTGTTGGTTCTCCTGGCCCTTTCTTATGGGATTATCTGCTTCATGTCTTTTCCTCAGTGTCTTCCATTTATATTTTACCTTCACTTCTTAAAGAAAACATTCATTTGATTTAAATGTGATCTCACAACTAGTTACATTGCACTATTACTGCACCTCAGCCAGTGTTGTAGCAGTTTATAGGGAGGTAAACGAACTGACAAATACATGACAAGAATTTGGACACTGAGGTCTTCTTGTTTTGTTACAACTGGGAGAAGAACCTGTTCTAATTTAGCAGTTTGGCTCTATTACAAGAGGAAAGTATTGTTCCAGTTTCAAAGTGAGGGGGAGGTTTACCACGGCTGAGGACTTTGAGAGAGAAGTGTTGCAGCCCTATAACACATGCCCGTAGGCTGCCGTCCTCACAGGTGTATTTGTTTTATTTGTTTTTAATAATTTTTGAAAAAGATTTATTTATTTATGCAGAACCTGGGTACAGGCCAGAGGTATAAGGGCAGTAAAAATTTTCACCAGAGACAGAGTGGGGAGCAGAACAGGCAGACTGATGAAGTACACTGCTGAGGGGAGCAGTGGGTGGGTCAGGAGAGGACTGCTGCACCATGTGGGTCACTTCCTTGGCTGGGGTTCCAACTGTGAACTCAAGCTGAAGAAGCGGGGGCCAGCTTCATAGTGCTGCACTTTAACCCTTTGTGCCACCAGGGAAGGCCCAAATTTGATTTTAAAAGAAAACACAATTTGTGCAAGCACCATTCCTGTACTCATGAAAATACATACAGAAACTTGTTTTTGCAATCTGTGACATCACCTAAGTATCTCATCGACCAGAAATGAACTGGAGCAGTTATACAAAGTCTAATTCAGTCAGGTACATTCATTTACGAATAAGCTGCAAGGCATAGTGGGTGGATTCTTTTTATTGGTGAAGTAATTGCATTTCTAATTAAAATATTCAGGAAATAGAGAAACTCAAGAATTTGAAGAAAATAAGCCACCCCTTCAACAAATATTGAAAGGAGCTTACACATCTAAAGTGGAAGAAAGGAACAAACACAAACAGCTAGATAAGGAAATGGATGGACCTACACAAATTAAGAGTAAAAGGTCAATAACAGACTATCACACACCAAAAATTACTTTAAATGTAAATGGACTGAACTCACCAATTAAAAGACACAGGTATCACACTTTCAGACTTTAGATTATAAAGCCACAATAGTTAAAACAGCCTAAAATAATACTGGAACAAAAACAGACACAGGGACCAATAGAAATGGAGTTGAGAGCCCAGAAATAAACCCACACATACATGAACATTTAATCCATTACAAAAGAGCCAAGAACATATTCTGCAATGGGAAAGCCTCTTCAGTAAATGGAGCTGGACATGCATGCAAAAGAATGAAATCAGACCACGATTTTATATCATACACAAAAATCAGTTCAAAATGGACAAAAGATTGAGATGTCAAACCTAAAGCCAAAAACGAAAATATGGGCAAAACATTTCATGTAAGATGTGCAGGATCTCTAGCGGGAGTCACTGTTGATAGTGTGTAGCCTAACTACACTCTGGGTCTACCACCTGGGAAACAGAGCTCCTCGTATTTAAGGTTTAAGTTGGAAAGCTACTTTGCCTTTAATGTTAGCACAGCCAAATCTATATATGAGACTCCCTTATGTTCCTGTTTATACTCTTCTGAAATTGATGACTGTTCACTTACGCAATAGGTTGAGGAAATGGGATCTGTTTAATACAGACTACTCCTTTGTGTTTTTCTTGCTATTTTCTACTCTCAGATGTCTTTCTACACAGCACAGTTTTTGCACTGAAACCTGATAACTAGTGTACAGAAAAGTTTAAAATGAACTAGATTAACACTATTTGAAGGCAAAGATAGGATATTGAACATGGATTTTGTTTAGCTAGCTAGATAAAATTGCTTTTAGGAAATCCAACCAGAAGGTCAGTTTTAAGTGTTGTTTCAGAGCTTTGTGACATTTCTGCCTGTAGATTTATTTCTCATAGTCCGTTTCTTAAGAGTATAATTTGTTTAGGTTGGTTCAATCATTGAGAATGATTTTTGGGCATCAGTATATTTTTTTAATCATTATGTTGTAGGTGAATCGAATATGTGCCTTAGGCTGCAAACCACTGTTTGATGTCAGTTATTCTCAAATTTTAGTTGCATCAGAGTCAACTAGAAGACCTATTAAGGCAGTTTGGTGAGTCCTATCCCCGGGGTTTCTGCATCAGGATGACCCTTAAATTTCTAGAAGTTTCCCAAGAGATGCTGGTGCTACGGGTCCGGGAACTACCCTGGGAGAACTAGTGACCTAGGTTATACAGAGATCCTTTCTTCAGGAAGAGGCCTTTTCACATGTGAGATCCAAGTAAATATTTGCTTAAGGTAATCAAATTTAGGGCGGAGCTTATGCTTTCATGTCCCTTTCTATTCTTTTACCTCTTGGGCTTCCGCTCCCTCTCACATGGTCATTGTTAACTCAGCCTCTTTTTCTAGGTTGCTTGTGGACAAAATAAACTTCAGTAAAAATATCCCCAGGAACTCAAGGAAGGACTTGCAGCACAGCAAAGACAAGTCTTTCAACTGTCTGAGCTATAACCCTTCACTTCATGGAATCCAGCATCTCTTGATTATTCTCTTGTCTCTGTCTTCTCTGTCTTCTTCACCCACCTGTCAGGAGGAAGGAAAATTCATTCCCACTCTTGGAAAGTGGCAGAGTTTTCACGTGTTATATTCTTTTGTTTCTACACGATTCTGTCAAGGTATTACCCCAAATAAACATGGTTCCCATCTGGGAGTAATTCTGATGTCAGATGTTAAGTTGATGATTACTTTTACATTATTATTAAATAGACATTAAAATGATAGTTCTGTAGTAACTATTTGCCTTCATCTATTATTACCATTTCTCTAAGAAGTTCAAAATGAAATTCTGACATTTTTAGGTCTTTACTTCTGTCATCGTTAATTTTTGGTTTGATTGTTATTGTCTGGAAAATGTATTTGATGTGTTCATTGTATGCATCTATTCTCAGAAGTTCCATTTGCAGTCTCAGTCTGGTTGGCAAGTGGTAGGTGAGGAGGCATGAGGTGGGGTTACTGGATATACAAGGCCAAAATCAAGTTGAGGTTTAAATTTTTGAAAACTTTATAAAAAATACATTTAACTAATTTAACTGATAACTTTGCATCCTTTTTCTCTTTTCTAGAGTTTGTTTATTGGCTAATTACTGTCATATTAATTTGGAATGTGTGAAACTCAGTTTCTGTATGAATGTCACCCTGGATGCTATTAAGAAACTTTGTAAAAACTGCAAACGGTATGAGAACATTCTTTTTGCCTATCTGTCTCTCTTTCTATTTTAGATGTCATAAAACAAAGAAGAAATTTGATATTGATATTTATATTTCTCATGGTTGTTTCCAACCGTTCCAATAAACATTAAATTTTTTACAAAAAGTAGCTCCTAGTAACTTTACTTATATGAAACCAGTGATGTCTCCAGTAGTTGAAAATCATGTTTCCTTTGTACCTTGAAACTCAGAAAAAGTTCAGAAAAAATATTTGTAAGGACTTAAATATTTTTAGTTCTGCTAGCTTTTGTCCTTGGAGTGTCATTAATTAGAATTATAAAAAGAAAGTATTTAAGGAGTTATCAGAGTTCAAGTTCCATATTTGAGAATTACTTAATTAGTCTTAGTCCATTCGGTAAAAATTGAGCTTTTTGAATAAAGTCAAAGATTTTTATAATGAATTACTGTTTGATGAATTGAGGAAATTTGTAGAACAATCATGCGATCTGGGTCCTAGACTTTTTAAAGTTTCAAAACAAATGAAATAATAAACAATCTGAAGAAGTTCAGTTTGATTTACAAATTGTAAATACTTTATAAAAATTAATTAAAGTAATAATTTGCTTACTACTGGAAAACATGAATTAAGAACTTAAAGATACAATAAAACCTACATCGTTAAAAAAATAAACTCTGACAATAATTGTGCTTAGGGGCATAGAATTCTGTCTTTGACTACCTCACTGTACAGTGCAAATGTGAGACCTTTCTTTTTCCATTTTCTTTTCTTTTTATTCACCCATTTTCTATAACATTAAAGACTTGCAAATTAAGGAATACATGTAACATTATTAGAAATCGTGATTCTGTATTTCCAATTACTACATTCGAAATAGTGTCCTATTAAAAAATACATAAAAAAATTAATGTCCTAGTTCATTGCTAAGCTGAGACTCTAGGGTATTGTGAAAAGAGTCTTATTTGAATAACCAATCCTTTGAATACTGAGTTATATAATGCCTTCCAGAGGAATAGGAATGGTTATAGAATTTTATAGATCTCCTTCTGACTGATCTACTTGTCTCATTTTGTACTTTGGGGAACAGGAGCTTTAATCTTTTTTTAGACTAGAGAAAGATTAATATTTTAACATCTCCTCATATTATAGAATTGGGAAATGCTTTCATGTCACATAGAAATGTACACTTCTCCATTATTTTGAATGAATATAAATGTATCTCTGATCTAGCAATGCTCTCCCTAGAGCTAAAAGTAATTTTTGAGTGTTTGAGATCAATTTCATAGGCTTCCCTAGGAAGAACTCCATTGTGGTTTTAGAACTTGATCTGTCTGTTGTTAGAAGATAGGTTTCAGAAAAAGTGAGTGGTTTCTAAGCAGATCTATAATAAATGGTAAATACATAGCAAAGAAATGTTGATATAATTAGTACAATATTACCAAAATTAATGAATGTAACCAATAGTTGTCTATAGTCTATTAATCCTTACTACTTTCTAAAAGGTTTTCTAAAAGAGTTTTTGTGATTAAAAATGCATTGTGAGTGCATGCACACACACACACACATACACATACACACACCTGGGCAATTTAAAATTATGCTGATTATTTTTTTTTTACCAAAGCAAAAAAAAACTGGATCAGAGATCAGCTAGAGAAAGAGGGAAATGGAACTGAGGTCAAGCTATTATTTTAATTTAATGCTAATATAAGTTGGAATTTGTTGGCAAGTAAGGGCAGAAACACCATAAACTTTTACCTTTTAAGAGGACAGGTGGAAGTTTGTCATTAAAGACAAAATGAATACATTCTACAACGAATTTATTATGTACTTTTATAATACTCAAAAACTGAAAAATTATAAAATTGCACAAGATTTTGCAGATGCTGGACAGTTGATATTTCCTTAAAAAAATATTTAGGAGTTACCATTAATAGAATTTCCACAGTCTTTATGCATCTTAACACCATCCCCCTTTTGTAATTTCATTATTTTCCATTTAAATTGAAGAATTATGTTTCTGTTAGATTTGAAGATTTTTTTTTGAGGTGCTGTAAGTAGATGACTGGCCTGAAAATGAGGAGATTCTTTGCAATTGTATTAAATCAATGTATGCTATGAGAATAAGTGAAATGCCCTTTTCTCACATTATATAGAAAAGAATGACCAAAGTTTTGCGGAAGGGATCAGAACATAAATATCTTAGGTGTTGTAGGCATTGTGTATTTTACAATTACTCCTGAAAGTGAATGACAGGTGTTCCGATGGAGCTTTATTTATAGCTGTCTTTCTCATGATAGGGCTCAACGCTCTTTCCTTTAGAATGTAATTGACCTTAGCCTTCAGATAACTTAATCATCTCCCTACTACAAATACTAAAAATATACTTGTTATCCTCAAGTATATTTCTTCTTTGAGCAACAAAGTAGTAATCAAAGCCAGTTTAAGAACTTTTCATGAATTGAAAGGTTAATAGTGCTTAAAATCTAGGCTCAATGGTTTCCATGCCGTATAATATGTGGTTTTCCCATTTTTCTTTTTTTTAAGATTGAAGATTCTCCATCTCTATGGCTGCACCATCACTTCTGGCTTGTGCAAAATAAAAGAAGCTTACAAAAGAGTCAAAATATTTCATGACATTTCAGCCTTTACCCGTTAACAGTTAAAGGAAATTGGAATTTTAAGCAACAAAGACTTTCAAGATATTCATAATTAAATATGCCCAGAAATTTTACAAATTAAAAGGAAGTATTGAATTTAGATGGAGATAACCAAGGGATAATCTCATGTGAAATATTTTGTCATTCTTTACAAAATGAATGGGTTTTATGTGCCAAATACTCCCATCCCAAACAATGATAGTTTAAAAAGTGTGAAATTTAAAATGGGGGGTGTTTTCTTGCTTATTAGTATTATTGTTTGTGATGCATTTAAACTTTTACTTAAAATTACTAGATGGCACTGTGCAATCTAATTTTCTTTTGAATTCAGTGTAGCATGAGAGAACAATAAATCAGATAATTCTAAAAGGAATATTTTCTTCTGTATCCCATAAATATTTAATTATGCACCATGCTTTATATACTGTAGCAGTGTCAAATGTGGTGTTATTTCTGCAGCACTTCTGTCAGAGCATTGCACTGACTTCTAGGTAGCGCATGTACCCCATAAGGTCTTTCTCCAATTGCAGACAATGCCATCTTTTTAGAATTGAGTCTCTGTAGAGAATATTTCACGCTAAGGAATTAGTTATGTACTGTCTTCAGCTGGGTCACCCAGACACAGAGATGAGTATTAATGTGAGTATGTAAGATTAACTGGGGGTGGACCAGGTAGAACTAGGAAGGGAAAGACAATGAACAATAGCGCAACACTATGTCAGGCAATGTGACTGGAAGGTGACTGTCTCTGTTCTACTGCTGAAGATTGGTAGGTAGAGCGAGAGTTACTCCATATGGAAGGTAAGGGAGCTGGGTCTTTCTCCCACCAAGCATTGTGCAAAGATTACTTCCAGAGACGATACAAATTACTAGGCATAGGCAAAGCCTATTAGCTTGGGGGTAGGCCTCTGACAAGTAACCTGGCTGGTTATTGAGTAGAAATCCATAGGGGACCTGAGGAGACAGAGCACCTGCTACCTGCACAAGAAGGGAAACAGCACCCTGGACCAGGTGATGTGGGTTTGAGTATTTTTCATGAGCTGTGTGACTTTAATCATAATCATTCAACCTGGGCTTTAGTTTCCTTGTCTCTAATATTGAGAAACCTACCTCATGAAAGGTGTTAAAAGGATCAAATATGATGGTTTAATGGTATTCAAAGTATGCGCTAGTAACATAGGGAAAGTATCCTAGGCAGAGGAACGGCATGGAACGAGAATAGTCTTAAGAAGAGTTCTTAGTATGTTGAAATGGTATGTTGAAAGGCAGGACACAAGTGCAGCAGAGGTCAGTGTGCAAATAGGCTGTTATGGGAACACTTAGCGGGGAGGTCTAATCTCTTTTGGAAGTTAGGGAAATGATATTAAGTTGAGGTCTAAAGCAGGGGAGGAGCTATCTGGTCTATATGATGGATGAGCTGTCTAGTCTATATGGTGTATTAAGTGAAATATCACTTAAAACTGACAAAAATAAATAAGGAAATAAAACAAAAAGGGGTCACTATGAAGCCAAATTCAAAACATGGAAGTGTGATAGGTGAAGATTGCCACAGACACTTTACGATTCCTCTCATTGAGATGTGGCAACTGTTTACCCTCCTCTTGAATCTGGATTGACCTTAGTAACTTGTGACTAACAAAATGTAGTGAAACTAATATTCTGGGACTTCTGATGTTAGGTTGTTGGAAGTCTTACAGCATTAGGCTGAGAATGAAAACTCTTGGAGTTCAAGGAACCATGTAAGAAGTCCAACTATCTGAAGGGAGAGACCATGTGAAGAGGGCCTGAGATCCCCGAGAAGGTGATGTTGAGTCCTTTATGCAGTATCTGTAAGGGACCAATATGGTAGACTACAGAGAACTTGGATTTACTTCTTTCCAAGATCACATCAAGTTTACACCTAAATATTAAGTAAACTAGAAAGAAGCAAATCTGAAGTCTGAGTTAACAGAGCCCCTACAACAAGGGATTAAAGGTAGCACCTAGAGAGTCAAGCAGAGAGAGACAGAAAGATGCTCTTTTGAAAAAAGAATCCCCACCTTGAAGGCAAATAGAAGGAAACATGACACATCTCTAAGGTGTAGAAATTTTCCCTGGGGGTTTGGGGGTGAGGTGACAGTATATATAAAGAACTTTTACAATTCAATAAGGTGAAAACCCAATTAACAGGATTTGAATGGACATTTCATATTAGAAGATACAACAATGGCTGATACAACATGTTTTACCATATCATTAATCATTAGGGAAATACAAATTAAAACCACAATAGGCTGCCACTACACATTTATTGGAGTAGCTAAAAATTAAGAAGACTTATGCTAGTATGCTCACCAAGGAGGAGGAACCCCTATAGAACTCTTACTGTGCTGGTGGGAATGTATAATCCCAATCACTTTGTAAAACACTAACTTGCTTGTAAAATGTGACATATAATATACTATCATGTGATCCAGTACTCTCACTACAAGGAGTTTATCCAAAAGAAGTGGAAACATATGCTCCTTCACACAAACACTGGTATAAGAATAGCTATAGCAGCTTTACTCAAATGCTGAAATCTGGAAATACTCCAAATGTCTATCAATGTCTATCAACAAAGAAATAGATAAACACACTGCAGTTTATTTGTGCAACTAAACCTACTCATTATTAGAATGAATTAATGAATATGCAACAATAGGAATTAACATAAAATTATTATGCTCAATAAAAGCAGCCAGACATAGAATAGTATCTACTGTGTGATTCCTTTATGTGAAACTTTAAAACAGGTATGACCATATTTAGTGTAAACCCCTCAGGTCTTTGCCAAGGGTCTCTCACAAGAAGGTAGCTACTTCCTCAAGGTTAGGACTATTGCAAGTCATATCGCTCAGAGATTTATATAAACCCATTTAATTACAAACATGACTATCCCATCATATTTAAAATGCCCTTACTTTGAAAAAGAAAAGGATTGTATATAGCTCGTAGCAATTCTGCTTAAGAAGACTGGCCTTTTCTTTTTCCATCTAAAACTTCAGCTAAGATGGAAGTATTTTAGGTGCCAAAGTACATCTGTAAATTCATTGCCACAAAAATTTCCAACACTTTGTGCCAAACAATTAATTGACATAAAGTAATTTTGCCTTAAAAGAGAAAATAACAGGTTGACAATTGTTTGAAGTGTGGTTGCAAGTTTCTTCCACATAACGATGGCTTATTGAGTGGACAGATAATGATTTGCCACAAAAGTTGGTTTCTCTTTTTGATATACACTGTGTTGGAGGAGAAAGAGGTTGAAGGCTCTGAAGGCTGACCCCACATTTCTCACAGAACCTGGGGATGGCTATCAACAGGCACGTGACAGTATATAGAGAAGCAACAGGATTGAAGGTTTTCACAAAGCACTACAAAATTCAGTCGTAATATGCATCCTGGAACTTGAAAACTCAGAGTCATTAGGAATCACTTAACCATTTCTGTTTGATTGAGTCTTCTATTTAATTTTTTTGTGATATTGGTTAAAAGATAGCATTAAAGAACAAGCTGTTGTACTTAAATGAGCTAAAGGATAGGTAATGTTCTTGAGGACTGTTGTGTATTTCTAGCTGCCTCTTTAGTATTGGCCATTGCTTGCTAGATTTTTGGTTTTGATGGGAGGAGAGATGACTGTTTTCAATACAGTATTTGCAAAGTGCTGTGTTATCATTTTCTAGAATGTGTGAGTTGAAACCAAACTGTTATGTGTCAAAAATTCCTACTGCAAAAACTGCTTGTGGCAAGGATCTTACTGAGGACCTTTTTTTCACTGTACTCCTCTCTCTCTTCGCTTGCCTACATAATTTTAAATGCAAACTTTCATCTTTAGGCAAAAGAAAGATGCACGAGACTCATAGTTTGCTAATGTGGCAAAATAGCATGAACTTTACCATCATATATTGGGGTCAGAAGTTTGTAACACTTCATTCAGTTCTAGCATTGAATGCCTACTTTGTGAACTGGTGTTTCATTCTCTGGAACATTATAGAAATACTGAATTTTTACAAAGAAAGATTTATTAAATCTTATAACGGCAAATACACATACATACACACCCAACCATGCTACTTAATCATAATAGAAGCAATATGCAATTAAAGACAAGTTCAACTAGGTCCATAGTACTTTATTTTAAAACAACAACAACAATAACAAAAGATCCACAGCAAATAAGATAAAATATTCACATTTGCCAATTATGGGAAGGGGTATCCCGGTGTTACAGTATTCTTTATTTTTATATTCACAAAATAGATAAATTACTATGAAATAAATTTGCTTACATATTCTTTGAATACTCTTCAAAATATGTCCTATAGTTATCTTAGGGATATTAAGCCATCAGTAGCTATTCAAGAAGGAAGTAAGGTTCATGCTCTTACAGAGGTAAATATGTTAGAGTTTGTGAATCTACTAATTGGTCCCTCAGTAAAATGGCCTCATTTGGATGTCTGGATTCATCTTCACAGATTTATCGGATCTTTCTGAGGCTACATGACTGCAATGTTAAGGTTCTTGAACCTGAAGGAACTCCTACACTGTAGATTACAACAGGTTTCCAATAGAAACTGCTCTCCTTTATGGGTGAAGAGGAGGTTAAGTGGTGCTTCTCATTCCCCATTATATAAAGTTGGATCCACTTTATATTCACATAATAAATTTCAGATGAGCAAGGAAGTTCTCATGACTCATCACCCTAGTTGCTACCACCCAGAGCACTGACCAAGGTAAACCCGTAGGAATTGAAATAAATGAAATCCAAAACCTACAAGCTTCCATAGTCAATACATTGGGAAATTATCTGATTACCAAATATAAACTGATTTTCTTCATCTCATGCAAGAAAGCATACACTAGAATTCTTGGCCAAATTTATTTGTGCTTTAGAAATGTATTTGATAAGAAATAGGGGAAACATACCAACAGTACAAAACACAACACAACCCCATAACACAACACAACACAACAAAAACACAATTATAAAACAGAGACATCCTCCAGGGGAGGAGGGGGGAGCGGGATCAGAAGGAGGGAGGGAGGAGAACAGGGACTGTGGTGGTAGTGCACAGTTGAGTTGGGGAGGAAATTCTATGGGATCTACACCTGGGGGGAGAGAAGCAAACATTGCTTTAAAATGAAAATTGATGTAAATATATACATTATTAAATAAAAGAAATTTAAAACAAGAAATGAATTTGATCACAAAACTTTTTCCAATCATGTCTTTTCATTATTTCAGGAAACATTTTCTAATGAGATTATTTCTGGTTTTTAAAATCCTTGGGCAGTCACTGAGAAACTGATTTTTCTAAAAGTTGTTCTGAAAATCAGGCAAGCTCACCTTACCTGCTGATTCACTGGTTCTCAAAGGCTGGTCTGTTATCTCCAATTCCTGCTTAGCTGTTTCTGGATGCTAAAGTAGAAAATTGCCTCATTTTTTCCCCCCTCTCTTTCTTGAAAAATAAAATAAAATAAAAGGCTAGTGACAAATTACATAGCTCTGACATTCCCCTGGGTATATGCTGGGAATATTCAAAAGCATTCCTCAGTCCTTAGTGAATGGCTTTGCAGAGGCCCCTCACATTTTAGATAAACAGTGGGTTTCTTGGTTTCTTATTCTTTCTGTAAATCAACTCATATTTTCTCACTGATTAACATGAAAATTTCAGATGAGCAGTCGATATATACTTGTTCCCAGCAAATTAGTCTTAAATTTCACTGGTTCCGCTTCTCAATTCCACATGTTTCTTTACCATGTACTTATGATGTATAAATAAACACTGAAAAAAATGAAAGCAAACAAAAAACTTCAAGGACTCCTTCAGGAAGCCTTTTTTAAAGCAAAAGAGTCCTGTCAAGGTATGACTCCTCAATTAAACAGATCACAAGTCTATAAATAAATAAAAAATACACAAGGACTTAATAGGTGTCAAAGGTACTTTTTAAATCCATTGTTGACTAAGTGGTGCTGACATGACAAGGTAGAAATCAGGAAAAAAAAAAACCTACAACTCACACCTGACTCAAAATTCCAAATGAATCAATTTTAAGATGAAAAATAAAATCATAGAGACTAAAAAAAAAAATCATTCCTATGGTCTAATACTTGAACTGACAAAATGTTTGCTCAGCAATATCCTTGTGAAAGGTCACAGTGAACTTGCAGAAACTTTAGCAGTAAAAATGGGTTCCAACTCATTCACTGAGGTTGGAAAATGGTTTGTTTAGGCAGAAGAAGCCAAGGAAGATTTACTATGTACATTTTGTCCTGCTGAGAAGCAACTGTGTAATGAAATGGGCCTATTTGGGAAATAGAGGAGCCCCTACTAGGGGAGACTAAAGGAAAAGATGTTTGGATGTAAAAGTTGGGACTAGATTGCAAGGGACATCGAATGCTCAGATGAAGAGTTTACCCATGGTGCAGGCTTCTTCAACTTCATTATTATTGATATTTTTGGCTAGAAAATTCTTTACCATAGGGGATGGGGTGAGGGTAGGTCTGTGTATGACAGGATGCTTAGCTGTATCCCCAGCCTCTGCCTACTAGATGCCAGTAGTATTTCCCCACTCCCAAACTGTGACAGTCACAACTGTCACCAGACTGCTAAATGTCTCCTGGGGAACAAAATTGTCATGGATTGAAAACTGTGAATTCTAGGATGAGAGACTACTTTGTCTCTCCAAGGCTTTTCTAGCTGTGATGGTGGAGACTGAACAAGAAATCTCCAGGACAGGAGCTAAGGAAGGTGTTGTACATTCTTATAGTAAGAGCAGCTTGCTGGTGGTCATTTCAACCTACCCAGAAATGTGTCTATACATACTTGTTCTGGATTCCCACTGTAACTCACAGGGACATGTTCATGATATCTGGAGCCCTGATTGCCCTGTAAATGAGGAGGAACATGGTTTCAAGTTCCTTGCAGTAGGAATCTATTGAGATGGCACTTGCCTTGACTTATGAATGGAAGAGTCTATCTAGCAAGAACAGCAATAGCATCTCCATCAAAAATTTGAAGGTAACTTGGTAGAAGCTTCTGCTGGCATCTTGTGTCACTCTCCTATTGAAAATCCTGTTGATGTTAGGAATACTGGTAAAGCCATTGGAGTCACTTACATTTTTGGCTGCTTCTCCCATGGAATCGTCACTGGCCTGATCCAGGCAGCCTTTCCAGAACCTTGACATTCGGCATTGCAGATGCCAGGGTTGGCCACTAAGCTCACACAGAGGTGCCCTATGTTAACCTGTCTCAGTTATTGTGTGTGACACAGACGTTCCTCCAGGATTATTTAGAAATTACCATCCTGTGCAAGAACAAGGGGGCCTGATGAGGTTTTCATGTGGTAGATGCTGGCCTTAGAAGTTCTGCTCATATGTAACCCCACCTCCTGTCAACTCCCACCAGAGTTCATGCCTGATGTCTCTTCCTACTGCTGAGATCCTGAAGAGATGAAAACAGAAAAGTGGGTTGCTGCTGAAAAGGCTGTGATCATGGAGAAATTTCAAGGGCAATGGACTCCTCCAGTCCCCAATTGTACTGCTACTCAACCCATCAACCAAATTCACAGACTGTTTTGAAGGTGCAGGTCCTCTGTGCCCATCCAGAAGTTCCCTTTGGAAGACCAGAGCTCTCAGTCTGCAGTTCCTCCAGCTCAGATCATAGAATGGAGAGAAACAACTGCTAAGTGACCTTGAGCCGTTCTTCCACACATTCTTAATGGATAGTGGAAGTCAGATTGATAGAAAAAGGTCTCTTTAAAAAATTGTCCATTTCCCTATGTCCATGACCTTGGGTAGTTCCCTCCCATATTGACATAAGGCTTGGCCATGTGACTTGGTTTGATCATGGGATATCAGCAAGTATGACACAAAACCAGGCTGGGAAAACATCTGTGCACTGGGGCTTACCCTCCTGGAGCACAGTCACCATATGAAAAGCTGTGCTAGCTGTAAAGGACAGGCCCAGATGACCGCCACAGCTTACAGATATATGAGTAAGGTCCTTGAGGGCCATACAGGCGCAACTGACTCAACTCCCTGAATAATCCCAGGCAAGTCAGCTGATAGACACCTACCTGAGCCCTAACCAACCTGATGACAACAGAATGAACAACTAAATTTGGCTGATTTAAATCACTAAGTGTTTGTTGTACTGTGAAGAGGTTGATAACTGATATAACAGTTCTAACTGATATAACTGATATAACTGGGGGAGTTTGATATCAGGGAAAATGAGAAGATTTGTTCATAAGACATTTGGGGTAATTCATGTATCTTGATGACTTTTCATGAAGGGGCTCAGAGAAAAGGCAGAGCAGATCAAAGAACATCAAAATTTAGAAGTAGAGTACAAAAGTGAAAGTGAGTTCAGGAATGAAGCTGTAAGAGCAGTCTTCAAGAAAGTATTTCTGCATAAACAGTTAAAAATATTAGCTCATTTATTTTGAAGAATACTGATACTAATCACAATATTGTGATATTTCAAAAGTTCAGTTTAATGTAAATTTGTGAAGACTTAAAGGCACTACAAAGTGGGCATTTTTTACTTTCTATGGAATAAACAGTTTTCAGAATAAACAGGAAAGCACTAAACTCAAAATCAATAATAACATATTGCACTAATGACACGATTCATTTCAATGTATTAGCTGCCCCCTTGGTAGTAGTTTATTCACTTGCTAAAACCTGAGCTTTGAATGGAATGCGTGCAAAACTTACAAGTTACATTTACAGATAGAGATATCAGAGGTATTTATAGCTTGCTAGATGCTGAATGTTAACCAGATAATTGTATTAGTCAAGAAGAAACAGTTCCTTAGACATTTAGCACTTAGCGTTATGTATAAGAACATTAGCCTGAGGGAAGGTGTCAGTTTAATCCCCTACTTTATTTTTATCATATTGAGAAAAATAGTAGTACACAATAAAATAGTAGTAAAGAAGGAAAATCCTAAAAAATCTTAAAAGTGGTGGCAATGAATAATATGAATACAGCCCAAAATGACCCAAGTGCATTTTTATAGACTAGGAGAATCAGAATGAATATCTATTTATATATAGATATATGTTATATGCTAGAGTGACAGACTTTTGGAAATGAAATTATAAGGTCAAAAAAAACAAAAGGAATTTTAAAGATCTGTAGCCATTAAGCACCGAGAGTTAAAGAAGCATTGTTGAAATAAAAGTTAAAGATCAAACAATGATTTGGATTGGGGGATCTGGAATATTTGTGTGATTCTGTTTTGTAGGAACTGGTTGGACATTAATGTTTGAAGTAGGAAGATGCATTGAAGAAAGCTAGCAAAATCAGGCAGTGGGGTCTTCCAGTCAAAGCAGTACTTTGACTTGTAAGAAAACTTGTATAAACAGAAATCTCCCAATTTTCCGGAAATCGAAGAGAATAAAACACACAGCGTTAGTTTGGAGTCCTAGGCCGATGTTCCCTTTCTGTTACTGTCCAGTCCGCCAAACTTCCCGCGCTCGAGTCAGCACCACTCTGGGGATAACTACGCTCTGCACTACTCGAGCAGTCAGAGTTAATGAAAAGGGGCTGCCGACGCGGGGACTGTACCCCCAGCTGCGGCGGGACCTCCCCACTGCAAGGGCCCCTAGCCCGGACTCTGGCCAGAGTCCTACTAGGAAAGTACCAGAAGGTAGTGTGTGAACCCGCGCTCTCCTCCTCCAGGGCTGGGCGGAGCCGGACCCTCGGGAAAAGTGGCAGTGGCGGCGGCGCGGGGTGCTCAGCAGCGGGGCGCCCAGTCAGGGGCGCACTGGGACAGACAGCGGACGGCGGGGCTCCCCCGAGCAACGTGGGAGCGCGCCGCCCCAGACCCGCCCCGGCGCCGGCTCCACCCGGACATTCCCACAAGTGGCCGAACCAGCTGGACTAGCCGATCTCTGAGGCTCCGAAGGCCGCGGAGCCCTCGCGGCCGTCTCCCGTCGGGCGGAATGGAGGCAGCCGGGGAGCGGGAGGAGCTGGCCCGGCTGCGCTCGGTCTTCGCCGCCTGCGACGCGAACCGCTCCGGGCGCCTGGAGCGCGAGGAGTTCAGCGCGCTGTGCGCGGAGCTGCGCGTGCGGCCGGCAGACGCCGAGGCCGTGTTCCAGCGGCTCGACGCCGACCGCGACGGGGCCATCACGTTCCAGGAGTTCGCGCGCGGCTTCCGCGGGGCCCTTGGCGGGGCGCGGCGCCCGGACTGGGGTTCGGGTGAGCCCGCGCCCGCCGCGGCCCAGGTAGGGTCGGACCCGGGGGACAGCGACGAGGACGAGAGCAACGCGGAGGGGGCGGAGGTGCTGAAGCCTCCCTGGGACCCCGCGAATCCTGGCCGGGCTTGGCAGGATTTCCAGACACGACTCGGAGACGAGGCCAAGTTCATCCCCAGGTGCGTGCGTGTGTTGGGCGCGTGAGGCGTGAGCCGGCGTTTCCCGCCCACCCGGGGCGCCTACCTCCCCACTCTCAACGCGCCAGTGTGCAGGCCCTCTCGGTCTTATTCTGAGTTGTTTTTCTCAGTTCACCAACTCATTTTAACTTTTCCAAGGAGAGAACCCTTAGAGTAAGGAAAGGGAATGTTTTCAGTGTCAAGGTTTGGGTTTGAAAGAGTGTCACTTGCTCATTTCTGTGCCTTGCAAAGGGCACTTTATTACACGGCTACAGTGAAACCCGCAGCATCTGGAGAATGTGCCGGGCACAGGTTTCAGTGTCCCCATATCTCAGCGCGGTCTGGTTGCGTCACTCCAACTCCAGGCCTCCGGCTGCACCTGGGCACCCCGAGCCAGGCTGGATGCCAGTTTGGCATTCTCTATAATAGTTTTGAGTTTGTTGTGCACCCAGGACTACTAGGAAAACCAGATGGGTCATGTGTTCTGCCGGAGACAGTCATTGATGCCTACTGTGTGCTAGGCATTGGAGTGCACTTACTAAGTTTCAGGACAGTTCTGGGAGGTAGGTTTTCTATGATTGGTGGAGAAAATTAGACATGGAGATTTAGCCTTAAAAACTTTAAGAGACTTGCCCTGTTCATAAAAGAATGCATTCTCTATTCTTAGCTCAGCAGAAATAGCAATAATACCAAGTTTCTAACTTAATTCCCTGCCTACTCATGGCAGAGAGGGAAAGACACTGGGGGTTTTCTTTTTCTTTTTTTTTTTAATTTTATGTACTTTTTACATTACTCCTCATTTTGTACATTTTTTTTCATATTAGTTGTAATCCTCGTGGACTTCCCACCACCACTTCACCCATGTGCCATCACCATAGTCCCATATATTTATTCTTCCCACCTCCATTTTGGTCTTGTTCCCCTCACCTTCTCCCACCCACCACCCTTTGCTGGTTTGCATACACCCTTGCTTTGTTCTGGTTTGTCCAGAGCAGCTGCTGCTTGGTCCGACAGTAAAACACCTTAATAATTATGTGTGAAATGTTTTTCTGCCTTCTTTTGGATTTTAGTTGAAATTTTATGGAGCTCTGGTTCTCATTATTAAGATCTGAAAAGCATTATTTCGGTTGGCAGTTCACATAAGTGACATAAGACTGAAAAAAGAAATAGCCCTGGGTGTTATCAGTGGCCAGGCTGACTGGCTCACAGCTGAGACCTGCAGGACTGTATCCTCACTTCCTCCATTGCCCAGCTTCTCCTTTTAGTTTGGAAAGTGAGGGGAACACTGTTGGCAAAGAGTGACTCATGGCCAGAAGGAGGGATTGTGTGTAGAAAGTGGGTGTGATGCCCATCTTTTCTTTTATTTGCTAGTGAGTTAAAATGTAGTATCTCCCTCAGGAAAGTAAAAAATTTAAGCATGGAGTCATCTTTCATCTAGAATTTAGTTTAGGTCCAGCTAAGTTTAAAAGTTATCAATTTTAGGAATAAAGAAGTTTAAGTCCATATCATATTTTATACATAAGCACACATAGGGATCTACTTTCCACAGTTATCAAGTCTCAGTAGCAAATATTTGACACTTAACTTGTAAATGATTAAAGTGACCTGAGGATCAACATACAAACCCACACTTAACATTATTGGTGATATTATTATTATTGTCATCATCGTCATCATCACGCCACTCCAAACTCTTTGGAGGTTGTTAAATTGAATGGACACTGGTATCACCTGATAGACTAGTATTCAGTGCCCCACCCCCTCCTGATGTGAGATTAACAAGTACAATATTTGCCATCCTGTACTTGCTCAAGTGGAAAAGCTAAACTGAGTTGCTTCATCTGATTGTTACCATGGTAGCCCTTAACTGTTTTGGTAAATTGGATTGCTTCTGTTACATTTCCTTATACAGCTGTTGACTTTCCCTTCCTCCCACCCAAATGCAATAAAAATCTTTCCTTATTGATAATAATATGCCATTATTTCAGGCAAATTAATTCTACAAACATTATTGAGTTTCTCTTGTACCAGATGCTGTCTTAGGGCCTGACCTAGGTTCTTAGGGGCAAAGAGGAGGATAAAGTGTAGTTTATGTCTTCAAGAGGCTCATAGTGTGGGTAGAAACATTTCTTCAAAAAATACTTGAAAAACATTTAAAGACAAGAGAGCTATTTACAGGAAACTGTATATTGTGGATGGAAACAATAGAATGTTAGAAGCTGGAGCTTTCTTTGAATTTTCAACCTGTAAATAATTAAGTATGTATTCATTTTACTTCCTAATATATTGAGACAAAATAAGTGAATGGGCAAAAAAATAACTTTTGAACTCTGAGACCAAATTAAGGGTTGGCAGAAGGGAGGGATCAGGTAGGAGGTTGTCATTTGTGTAAAAGGGGTTAGTTTTATGGTGAAGGATAGAATTGGACTTTTAGTGGTGAACTTAATGGTGCAACTAGAGATACTGATTTATAATGAGATACATGTTATAATGTAATTTTACTTCAATAAACATTTTAAATGAAGGAAATAGATTATCTGAATATCAGATAATAAAGGTACATATTTCAATTTTATACAAACACACACACACTTTTTTCTTCCAAGGGAAAAATTGTCTCTCTGAAATGTGTGGCATTTCATCTGGTGTCTTTGTTTCCCATCAAATACTCTATCTTTCCCTGGTGACCTCCTGTCCCTTGTCTATCCCAGCAGATTGTATGTTCAGTTTGATAACACCAGATATCAGATATGATAATGCATGTTTCCTGTAGAGGCAAAATATGATAGTATGACATAATTTCCATTTCAAAGCTCTTAGATCAAATAATGAAGCAATTTTTGGTTACATTTCCCAGTCACTAGTAATTGCAATATTAGAGAGAAACTGATATTGCATCGTGAATGGATGAAAATGGCCTCTGGGATGTGTGTCAACAGTTCCTTAAGTTTCTTAGAAAACTGAGGAACTCTTTTCCTTAAAGACTGGGGAGGGGAGGCTCCACACTTGAACCTGGAGGAATCCCTGGCCTTTACTGCCAGGATGGGCTGTTACCACCCCATAGGAAGCAGGAGCTCAGTCAGAGGGTAATACAAGAACAGCAAGATGATATGGTTACAGAAGAGAATTCAGAAAAGAAGGTTGTTCCAGAAAAGAAAAACCCTGCAAGTGGGAATTCACTGTATGTGAGAGACAGAGAAAAGATTTGTATGACCTACTGACCTGTTTATTCTGCCAGGGATGTTATTTTGGTGACAAAGAGATTCACATTCAATAGCTACTCAATAGATGTTGGGTGAATGACTTGCGTGATTTGTATTTCTTCATCCATATATTGAAACTGCATTTAATTTACATTGTGTGGGTCTATCCTCATTTCATTTGTGCTTTCTCTCCTGATTTTTTCCAGTTCCTATTGTAAGCTGGTCACAGAGTTCAGACATTTGCATGGTGAAGAAGACAGGGTGTGTGTGCTTGTGGACTTGATGGGCAGGGTATGGTGGAACCCATCTATCCTGTAGTCAGAGCTTTTCAATTCTCTCAGCTGCATTTGTAGTGATTTTTGAGTTTGTGAATTGATTCACTTTGATAGTGAACTCCACATTCTCACGAATAGAAATGTGTATGAACCACAGTGGATGTATGAATGGGTGTGGGTAACTCCATACTGGCCAGACCTGGGACAGATGCAGGCTGGGTGCCAGGAATATAATAGAAATTAATACAATGGCTGACCTGCCAGGCTAGACAGAATTAGCGTGGGATCAGCTCAGATGCTAAAATCAACACTTTGTGAGCAGCTGTTTCACATGATTTGAGACTTTTCTATGCATAATGTTGAAGGGGAGTCTTTTATTTAACAATTTACAAGGAAGGAATGCAATTGAGAAGAACCAACATTACCCACATGTGAAGAGTAGATGGACTGTGTCAACACGATTTTCTCAGCATATCCACATAATCTAAGGATGGTCGTTAACTAAGAGGAAAAGACCAACAGGTGAACACTAATCACATGTACCTAGGGCATTTTTTAAAAAAAGATTTATTTATTTATGCATACAGAACTGGGTACAGGGCAGAGTTGCAGGGACAGTGAGAGGATTCACCAGAAACAGAGTGGGGAGCAGAACAGTAAGATCTACAAAGTACACTGCTGAGGGGAGCAGCAGGTAGGTCAGGAGAGGTCTGCCACGCCATGTGGATCACCTCCGGGGCAGGCGGGGATCGAACTCATGCTGCAGCGGCTTTAGTGCTGTGTTTTAACCTGCTGTGCCACCAGGGATCTCCCCCCCCCCCCCAGGGCATTTTTTAAGAACAAGTAGCTGTAAGTAGGCAGAAGTAGAGTTTCAGAACTGGTCAGGGTTTCTTTCACATTTCCCCTCCTTGAGTTCCATTTCTACCCTCTTCACTCTGTCTCCTTTCATAATAGTGTGGTCACCTCCTAAGCCCACTTCACTTGCATGGTGCTTGGCAGGGTGAGGTAGGGAGAGGAGAGGTGGAGGTGGAGAAGAAGAACGCAGTGAGGGTGAGAAGGTGAGTGGGTGGGAAAGACAAGAATCAGCAGATGGAGACACATTGGTGATTAGATTGTGCCTCACAGAACACTAACCATTTTCATTTTGATGAAATTATTGAACAAATGAGTTTGAGCACATTTGGAGTCACCTGGGTGACTGACTACACAATTTTAAACCCACCTGTTTCATACTGTGCAGCCACCACAGCACTGTTGTCATTGCCATGGCTGTGAGGGTGGCAGAGGGTGGGCTCAGTGTATGATGTGGTCACAGGGTTTGAAAGTGACTGACAACAGAGAGTGTCGTATTGTCTGTGGTCTCAACAATGAAGCGATGGCAAGGCGAAGTTCTGTGGTGCCAGGACCCCCAACTTGGGCTATGGAGATTTCATTGCTGTGGAATTACATTCCATGACAGTTCAGATGAATGTCATCAACCCTGTTTTCATTGATTTTGTGTATATGTGTTGATCTTATCTATGCT